CATTTAGTCTGCCACTATTTTACATATAAACATAAAAGACACAACTTTTATTTTAAGACATGCAGAGCTTTAATCATCTGACAAGTTTGTAACGTGCCCCAAGTCTTCATCCTAGAAATCGAGACAACCCATTGATTGAATCCAGTCAGTAGGGATTTGTCGAGAAGATGTATCTGGATGAGTATCCAGAGAAATGTCTGGAAACTGAGATGTCGGCTTTGTAGAGGTACTTGGTGCATGCATGTACTGTTGTCGCTTGGATTTATGAAGATAGGTATTACGAGATTGCTGAAACTCTTCTTCCTGCACAGTATCTTGCTATGAGTTTGGGTACCACCATTCTGGATAATCTGAAGTGATATTGAATTAAGCAGTGATGGAACGTATGCATCTTTGTTTGGCTTGGAGTAATTTCTCAGTGTAGTCTGGAGGAAAAAGTTCCCACAGAGCATCATCGTGAAAGGATGGCCATATTTCATCTAGAATTATCTGAATTTTTTCAAAAAGGATTTTTTGAATTGATCTAGTCTCAACAGGATGGTCAAACATATTGTGGACGAGATCATATGGATAAGACCGATGAAATGTGACTTGATGCTGTGAAAAATATATGCCATCGGATCTGATAGAGTGATGTTTGTGGAAAAACATGATAGACCATGCCATTTTGGTAGACATAGGACCTTTGTATCGGGCAAGTTGATGAGTAAACACATATTTCCATTTTTCTAGGGTTTTGAACCATTTGAAAAAAGTCATCAAAGAGTGTAACTCAAAGGTTGAGGTTGACTGGTATTGGAAAATTATTTTCAACATATGATGGACTGGGAATTGAATGGAAATATGGTACTGGTGTAACATATACCAAAAGAACCATAATAATTCTTCTAAAAATATGATATCAAGACTTGGAGGTAAACAAAAGATTTTTGAAAAGGGATAATCTGGATGGACACCTAACATATCATACATGAATTGTCCATATTTTTCAATACATTGAATCTGATAAGAAAACATGAGGGTGGTAGCATTTTCATCAATGGTACGAGTTCGAACAAGGTCATCGAATTCAGGAGGTACTTTTGGAATATGGTTTGGTCAAGAAGATGATGAACATGAACTGGACTGGGTTAATGGTTGGAACATGAAACAGGGAAGAGGTTTGGATCTAGGGTTCATGAAACTGACTTGTTTAGTTTTAGGTCTGGAGAAATTCTCTGCAATGGTTTTGGTGTGACCTTTGATGTGCTAGATGGTGAAAGAATATTTGCTGAACCATTCTGCCCATTGAAGTAATTGTTGATGCGGAACCTTTTTCTTGTTGAATTGGAGCATTTGATCAAAAGACTTCATGTCTGTTTCAACAAAGAAGTGATGTGCAACAAGATGGAATTCAAACCTTTCAATAACATTTTTTACTGCTAATACTTCTTTGAAAGTAGAATGATAATGCTGTTGATGTAGTTCGAATTGTCCACTCTAGTACCCACACAAATGTTGTACTTTGTTATCATCTTGTTCAAAAAGCACTGCACCCAATGAGTGTCACTAGCATTCGTCTGAAGAATTCGTTTCCCAGAAGAAGGAATCTTCAATGGCTGTGTGTGGAAGGATTTGCGTTTAAGACTCTTGATTGCATTGGTTTGCTTTTCAGACCACGAAGGAGGATTCTTCTTAAGCATCTGGGAAGTGGAGTAGTGAGATGAGAAATGTTGAGAATAAAACTGTGCATGTAATTGGCAATTCCCAAGAATTGTTGTATTTCTTTCTTGGTTGTGAGAACATCTGGGAATTTTTGCAACTCATTAGCAATATGAGGCTGAAGATCATACTTGCCGTCAGCAATCACCATACCAAGAAAATCAATCTTTGTCTATCCTAACTGCATTTTCTTCTGAAAGAGCATAATACCATAAAAGTGTATGATATCAGCAAATTCATGAAGAAGACGTCTATGAGATTTCTCATCTTTTGAAAAGAGAAAGATATCATCAATATAAATGAGACATGTATGAAGAAGAGGAGCAAAAATCTTCGTCATGGCTTTCTGAAACAGGGAAGGAGTGACCTTAAGGCCAAAAGGCATGACCGTTTATTGGTAATATTGGTAAGGAATGTAGAAAACAGTCTTATAATGATCATCAGGATGAATTCCTAGTTGCCAGAATCTAGCTTTGAGATCAAATTTGGAAAACATCTTTGCATTATGGAGATTTGCAAAGAGAATTTGTCTAGAACGCAGAGGAGATTTATCATCATGAAGAAAGAAAATCAATGTTTGATAATTGATAACAAGTCTAAGTTTTCCTCTGACTTGTTCAGTACGTTTATTGACATAAAAAGCTTCACATGCCCATTAAGAATCTGTGGGTTTGATCAATCCTTGAGATAAAAGCTGAGTACATTCTTGTTGGGCTAGGCTGAGATGTTTTGGTGTCATGCCATAAAAACTAGCTTTGGTGGGATTGATATCTTCGCTCTTGATGAATGGAAGATGGATAACACTACAAGAAAAAATACTTTTTGCAACTAGGCAAAAATAGTTGCAGATACCCCACATTTAGAAACTAAATTCCAATTAGTTAGCCAAAGGGAATAAAATTCTATGGCCAATTTTATTCCCGCCTTTAGCGTCTAAAATTAATATTTTGTGACTAATGTGATTTCTTGCCCAAAATATCACATAAGCGACTAATTTATTTGGTTGCCAATTCTTGCGTGAACACAATTGGCAACTATAACAAGGGATTCGGCAACTAAAATTATGGTTACAGAAAATAATTATTTGCACCTACTATATAGTTGCCAAATTAGATGCAAATATTTATTAATTAATTTGTAACTATTTTTATTAGTTACAAAATAATACAATTACCGAAATATCCAAGCTTTTAACAATAATTACAAAGGGCCCAGGGTACATTTGGCAACTAATTATTTTGTGTATATTACAATTAGTTGCAAAAACTCATGTATAGCAACTAAAATGTATTTAGTCGCTAAAAGTTGATGAATTTTTTTGAACCCAACTTTCCCGGTAAAATGAAAAAATATTATTTTAATTTGTGACTAAAATTACTATTGCGTAACTAATTAGTTAGTTGCAAATTATCTTCTTTTGGCAACTAAGATTTTAGTTGCCAAATGTATGGTAAATTTTGAGCGCCCCAAGTTCCTGCTTGAAATAAATTAAAATAAATTATCTTCTTTTGGCAACTAAGATTTTAGTTGCCAAATGTATGGTAAATTTTGAGCGCCCCAAGTTCCCGCTTGAAATAAATTATCTTCTTTTGGCAACTAAGATTTTAGTTGCCAAATGTATGGTAAATTTTGAGTGCCCCATGTTCCCGCTTGAAATAAATTGAAATTTTGGGTATGTTATTTTGGCAACTAAAGTTATAGTTGTTAATAGGATTTTTTTGCAACCAAAATGTTAGCCACTAAATATTGTTTATTAAAAATAATATATACTACTACTAACCAAAATCAATTTTATTGTTTGATTCTACTTTTGTCGCCTACATTACCATCTCTTTGATTCTACTTTTGCCGCCTACATTACCCCATTAAAGGTAACTTTTTGTTTTTTACTTTTATGTCAAAGCTCATTCTTTTATAGATGGTATTTCAATTTTATTATTTGATTTTCAATCCGTTTCTTCACAACATTTGCTTTAATTTGTTTAAGCATTTGTTGTTAGTGATGTTCCTAAATGGGTGGCTTTAACTTCGTAATGGGTGATTTTATTTTTGTCTTCTCTTTCATCTGACATTAAAATGAGTATTATAATTGTAATGAGTATTTTAAATTCGTTTATTGTTACTAATAAACGAATGGTGTTTGATTTTATTTTTGTCTTCTCTTTCATCTAACATTACCATTTTTCCCTAAAACTTTTGCTTAACCGCTATTTCACTCATTTGTACAAACCCTCATAGTTAACCTGCTTCCGACACTGGAACAACAGTTCTAGTTTCTACTACTCTCGTTCAGTAGACAACGACTCGCTCACTAACTCTGGTGCTTATTTTGTGCCTATTTCGACGGAGATTGTTAACTTCGGTGAGTTTTGACAAGACGTATCCCGAACACCCAAATGTAGCGGTGTTTAGAAAAATATAGAAACTGAACCTAACCGAGAACTAAACCAGTTTTTCGTTAACCGTTCGATTGTGGTCCACAAAAATACAAAAAACTGAATTTCCAATTTTAAAAAACAAAAATTAAAAAGTAAACAATTTTTCCTTAAAATTTAAAAAGTAAACAAATTGAAAGTCCCTAAATCCTTACAATTAAAGAAAAACAAAATCCCAAACCCGGTTTTAGGGTAACATTAAAAACAAAAAAATAGAAAGTAAGCAATTTTGCACAAAAATTTTTGAAACTTAAAATTAAAAAAAAAATTAAAAAGTAATAAACCCACTTATACAAAATCCCCAAACTAATTTTACCCTAAAACGCAAACACTCTCCACTTCTCCACTCCATTGGCATCTTCTTCTCCATTTTTCCACACCACATATAAAACATTACAAAACCCTACTGCTTTACTTCTGAACCCAGAAAAAGAAGGCAGAGAGTTTTTAGAAATTAAAAATAGGTGATGAATCTTAAAGATTGGTGTGTGTATTCTACACACGGCTCTCTCTCTCTCTCTCTCTCTCTCTCTCTCTCTCTCTCTCTCTCTCTCTCTCTCTCTCTCTCAATCGGCCTCCGTTCTAGTAGATCTTTTCATTATAATCATTACAATGACATCATGTTACCAGCGGTTCACCGTCGGTCCCGCCGTGTCACACACTACTCTACTTGAATCATGAAAACCTTCACGTACGGCGGTGATTTCATGCCTCTTACGCGATCAGAGAAATCAACGGCCATGGTTCGTCCTAAAATTGCTGAAACAACATTCGAATTTGTACGTGGCGGGGCCGGGAGGAGTGTGGGAGAGATCGGAGGGGGAGGAAGCGGCGGTGCAGAAGAGGAAGGTGGGGACATGGTCGTACGTGGTGGAGAAAAGGAGGAGTAAAGATGAAAGGAGTAGGAAGGTGGAAGTGGTGGTGGCAGCGGCGGTTACGGTGGTCCTGGGCATTGGAAATCGAGTGTCGTATAAACTGGCGCTTGCTCCTCTGAAGCATTACCCCTTCTTTCTTGCTCAGCTTGCTACTTTCGGGTACCTAATAATTTTATTTCTCTCTTTTACTATTTTTATTAATTAGTGTTTCCATCATATTTTTTTTATATTGATTTGTGTAGTATGAGTTTTATTTAAATATTCAAAGAAGAGAATTTATTTTATTTTATTGTATTTCTCATTTTCAGTTTTATTTTATATATTATCCCTTCAAAATCTCATTTTTTTTCTTCCTTGTTGCATATAGGAATCTTCCACAACCCATATTGGAATAGTTTATTCAGGTTGGCTTTTTCATTCTCTCTCATTGTTTGTGTGGTGAATTCAAGAACTTTTGTTGGGAAGTTGTCAGTACAAGTTAACGATATCCTAAAGGCAGCAGGTGCTGATATTGTTGAAACCATGGATTAGCCTGTTATATTATCCAAAATTAAACATATTGGATGTTGGTGATAGTCAAATTATTAAAGATGATAGGAGCATTGTGAAGGTGGTTTAAGTGTTTATTTATTTATTTTTTTTTTTTGAAAAGCTTTAGAGGAAGGATTGTTAGAATAAGGTTTACTGTGGAGTGCTCTGGATGGACGCAAGGCCAATTAGCTGGACAGAGCATTTGAGGAGGAAATAGAAAAGGCGAGTTTGAATCTTGAAAACGTTATTTTGGATTTGATGGATGGTAAATGGTGTTATTTCATAATGGATTGATAAATGCTATGACTAGTGAAACTTTTAGCTTCTGCGAGGGGAGTTGAACCCTCGACCTTTACAGTAACCTTTCTGTAACTGATAATTATTAAAAATATTAAAAAAAAAAATTCTTTATAAATTCTGAATTCATTTGGAAGATGCAGTTCTGCTCTAATTTTTCAATTTTATTTACTGCAGTTGATAAGCTATATATTTGAAAAATACTATTATTGTAGTTTTGATTCCTTGACTGTTGTATATTCTCCTTTATAGAACTGTTAACTACATATGCTTTTATGTTGTTTCTTCGGTAACCATACGTTCAGAAATACAAATCATTATCCTTAAGCATGACCACTGTTTTTGAAGTGATGTGAGTACCCTGCTAGCAACTTAGATAGCTGTAAGATAGCTTGGTGTACAAAAATGTTTTGATTGGTTTTAGAATATGGTTAAACTGAAGTTGAAAATAACCATCGGAAGATTGGAAGCAATGTATGACTCGTCATCGCTAGAATTTAAAGAAGGTTTCATCTTTTGTGGGTACAACTTTGGGGTGAATAATACTTTTTGTTTTTCGGATGTGCATGTCTTGAGAAAGTGTGGGATGTGAAACCTTTGGTTAATGGGAAAGAGATTAGAGTGTTTTGCAGCTTAAATCTGGATGGCCACTTATTAGGGAGTGGGTAAGGCAATCTTTATGCATCTAAGACCCAAAAAGTAAAAAGTTTTCAAGTTCCAAAGCTAATTAACTCTTTACTTTACAGCAAAAAAACTCATGGCAGCTTGCCCATCCCTCTCGCACAGCAGAGGAATGCCTTGGCTGGACGAAGCAAACCTACTCAATCCTATCTGGTATAGAAGTTCTACTCAAATTCTTTTTAATTTTCAATACTAATTCTTCTACCTAGTCACTTTGTTCTAGTGATGCACTGCCTTTGGTGTTACCACTGATTGTTTAAATTAGTTGTTATCATGGTTAAAAATAAGAGATTACATGTTACTGTTGCCCTCTTCTTTATGAATTTCTTGACCTTTGTTTTCTACCTGCATTTTTAAGATAAAGGAATAACAATGTTTCAGGAAAATTGGTTGATAGTTGTTCATGCTGCTGTTGGCCGTTTCTGCTTCCAATTCTGGTGGTAAAAAGAACATTCATCCCACATTAGTTAGGATGACTTTACTCAAGCTACGCATGATTTCCTTCCAGTTGCTATGCGAGACATTAGTAAACCTTCTCCTGAAGGTGGTCGCTTTGGTTGGGATGATGTTGGTGGTCTTAATGACATCGGAAGCGATCAATGAGGTTATTTTTCTTTTACTTCTGATCTTCTTATAAATGCAAGGCTAATAGAACTCCTTTGAACTCGAACATTTTGATATTTATTGCTTCCTTGAGTTGATAGCTTGTTGGACCTTTTGAAGTAGAACCCTATTGAGTGTACATTTGTACGCTTTAGATTTTAAGCTTGAAAATCAGTTCATCAAAGTTGATACTCATTGAAAAATCTTTGATGATAAACAGTGCATCAGTCTCTTCTAACTCTGACAGTTTAACTAATAAAAGTTCCTGTTTTTGGAGTAAATTTTTAGTGTGTCCTGTGTAATGTACAAATGTCAGAGCTAGATGCTTCTAGCTTCCAAGTTGAATGAGAAACTATTCTGACAAGTTTTGCTAGACGCAAGGGTTGTTTCAATAGTCCTACTTTTTATCTACAAGATGTCATTGGTTTAAATCCTCTTGGAACCACATATTTAAGATATTATATCTGTTAGGTTTTCTAACAACTAAAAGTTGTTGTAAATAGTTTGGGCTCTAAACTTGGTGCTCATGCCGAGGGGTTTTTGGATTATAAAAAGGAAAAAACAAAATCCATTTGTCTATTTGTATCATATATATTGCTAATTCTATATTTAATTGTCAGATGATTGAAGTGCCTTCAAAGTTTCCAAATATCCTTGCCAAAGCTCCTTTACGTTTCAGGTCAAATGTTCTCTTATATGGTCCTCCTGGTTGCGGCAAAACTCACATTGTTGGTGCTGCTGCTTGTTCTTTACGATTTATATCGGTGAAAGGGCCTGAGCTGTTGAACAAATACATTGATGCTTTTGAGCAAGCTGTAAGATGGAATTAAGCCTTTTCTTTTTATCTATATTCCATTAAATCCTGTTCAATTGTATATTATTCTTGACATTTTGATGATACATAGTAACTAATAAGGTGTCTTATGAAATTCAGAAATTTCAATCCATTGTTCTCTGCTAATGTAATGGAGTAAATATGAAAGCCTTTTATAGTGTTATTTTCTTATATGTTCTATGATTTAGTTCTTTGTTTCCTTGTGAAAGTTATTTCCAGAATTGAGTTGGTCAGTGTCTAAAATGACTATACTTAAAAATTATAATTAACTACTAAATTTTGGTTACCAAAAGATACATTTGATCACTAATAAAATAGTTGCGAAAAGCATTTGGATTCTACATTCAGCGTCTAAAAGTATAACAATTAACTACTAAATTTTGGTCACCAAAAAATATATTTGTCGACTAATAAAATAGTTGCGAATATCTTTGACGAAATTACACTTACACCTTTTGCGTCTAATTTTTGTGGGATTCGCGACAAATTATTAGACACTAAAACGAACATTTTGCAACTAATTGGTTAGTCGCTATACAATTTTACCAAATTACCCTTGAACTTTTAGCGTTTAAGTTGGGGGACTAATTTGACCAACATTTAGCGACTATTTTGCTAGTCACAAAAGAAAACTTTTTGTGTCTAAACCAAAATTTAGACGTGCTATGAATCTACGACCAGGCTACTGCAACTAAGGGGTGACTACCAAATTTAGATGCTAAAAATGTCTTAGCGTCTAAATGTGACTTTCTGCGTCTAATTTTGCTAGACGTAGAATGCCAGTTTTCTTGTAGTGTGTGCTTGGCCCACACTCACGTCTTCCATATAGTAGTGTCCCCCCCTCTTAGTACCACACCCAATGATCTCCCTCGTTAGAATGTCCTAGAGAAGACAAAAAGTAGGATACATTAGCACAATACAATTAAGATCAAAGGTCAGTTAGCTCACGGAGAGAAGCTTATGATATAAAGATGGAACAAGTAAAGTATTATGCAGCTGTAACATAGGAGATAAAACCATAGTGCCCGTGCCAGTGACTGGAGAGGTAAAGCCATTAGCATTGGCAATATTTGTACGTTTCGTTAGGGACGTCGTGACGAAATCCGTAGCGGCAAACGTCATATGGTCAGTGGCGCCGGAGTCCAGTAGCCATGCACCACGGTTAGCATCATTATTCGAAGTATAACAAGCACAACCACAGTTACCTGAGTTCGAAACTAGTGCCATCTGTGGTGTGAAGGAGAGTTGAGGTTTGGCAATAACCATAGCTGCTTGACCAGAGCCTTCATCCTTAGTGCCAAGGTCACGACCCTTCCTAGCTTGGAGATCATTCCACCAATCAAGATACCCATGCAATTTAAAGCAAGTGTCATGAGTGTGCTTCGAATTGCCACAATGAGAGCACTTTAAACCTTCGGAAGATGTACGAGATTTATGATTGCCATTGTGCATGGTAGGAGATGGGGTAGAGGAACCAAGTCTGAGTCCTTTGGTGGCAAGAACAGCACCAGATACACCATCTACACTACCGGTGATCATAACAGATTAACAGAGGGCTTCAAGGCGGACATGGGCATAAGCTTGCTCCATGGTAGGGAATGGGCAAAGCTGCAACATGTTGCCCTGAATCTTATCTAGTCGATCATCCAGGCCATCCAAGAAAACATATACTCTGTCTTCTTGAAGGATAAGATTATAGTGTTGGATATCAACGGCACACTCCATAGGATTAGACCGCCTGAAGTCAATCTCACGCCATAAGCCTTAGAGGTCATTGTAGTATTTCTCAAGGGATCCTCTAGCCTGTTTCAATCGTGTCACTCGACGTTGAAGATCATAGACCTAAGACGTGTCACTACCATCGAAGTAAGTGGTAGCAATGGAATCCCACACCAACTTAGCCGTAGGAAACCGAATGAAATTCCCTATCAAGGAGGGATCCATGGAGTTTATCAACCAACCTTTGACAATGGCATTGTACGCCATTTGTGAAATGTTGGATCTGTCAAAGATGGTTGTGGAATATCACCATTGATATATCCCAACTTGTCTTTGCCAGAGATATACATCTCGACAACTTGGTGTTAGTAAACGGTCCCGTATACGCAGCGGAAACAAAAAAATAATATAATAGGATGTTTACATGAGCCAAGATCAAGGGTATGATTTTACAATTTATATTAAATAAAATCTGCATAAATATTCAACATGAGTTAAGAGAAAAACAAACGCACGTTGAAGGCTCCTCCAAATTTGTTGACGGACGCTTTGCTACCGATCCAAGTGTAGGATCGAACCTGCACGCAAATTTTATATTTGATGGGCTTCAGGCCCAATTTTCATCTTTCTAGTAATCTAATATTCCCAATAATCTAACATTCCCTAAACCAAACGCCTCCTTGAAGAAGTCGAAGATGGCATGAGTTGTGTCATAACATTTTTTATTTATAACATTCTTTATCAAAATCCTAAATAACTCATTTTATATTTGATGGGCTTTAGGCCCAATTTTAATCTTTTCAGTAATCTAATATTCTCAATAATCTAATATTCTCTAAACCAAACGCCTCATTGATGTCGTCGAAGATGGCATGAGTTGTGTCATAACATTTTTTATTTATAGCATTCTTTATCGAAATCCTAAATAACTCATTTTATATTTGATGGGCTTCAGGCCCAATTTTCCTTGCAAATATAACCAATTCTTGTATGAGTGTTGTTATGTTATTCAAGTCTTATCAAAACTTTTTAGATCGAACAGAGTCAACAAATGACAAAAAAGAATGCACTCATTCCCATTACATATCTCTCATATTTTTAGTATTCTTGCCATACAAGTGATAAATTATTAATAGTTTCATGAAATAGAAAAAATTGAGAGGTAGTATAAATTCATTGAATAGCGTGATTCCGTGATCCCATCTAATATTATATCCAAACATGGAAATAGAAAGGGAGAACGACATTTTTTCACCCAAGGTTTGATAAAACGACACTTTTACATCCGTCAAGTTTCAAAATAACACTTTCTTATTGTTCGTTTCCTATTATTCGTTAAGTTCTGTTAGTATTTTCTATTAATATTTGACTGAAAAGACGAAAACAACCTTAAATAGTTTATTTCTTAATTAGTTTCTTATAAATTAAAATTTAGTTAAGTCAAAGTTTTTATTTGATTATTTATTAATCAAGTGTAAAGATACATTTTCTTCTTTGTTTATTTAATTAATTAGGCATATTAATTTTTTATGATAATTAGTAAAAATAAAGAACATTATAAATTTAGTAGATTATTAAATATTAGTGATAAGAAAATGATGACATTATAAATAAATAAATATTATAGTCATTTAACTTTAAACAAAATTTCATAGCATTACTCTTAACTTTTTAGGTGGGGTTAACTAATTTTTCTTTTTTGACTTTTTAATATTTGATTTTTTAACTAATAAAAAATAATAAAAATTTTATAAAGTAAAATATTTAAGGGTATTTTAGTCTTTTTAGTAAAATATTAACAGAAAACATAATAGAACCTAACAAAGGGTGGAAAATTGTTATTTTGAAACTTGATGGGTGGGAAATGTGTGTCGTCAAACCTTGGGTGGGAAAATGTCGTTCTCCCTAATTAATTGCAACATACTTCCGTATTTAGAATTTCAAAATCATTAATGGGAGAGGTATATGTTGGTTGTTGGAACTTGGACTTGGACGCATTGAATTGGCCCCAGTCGCGGCATCCAACAAACCATATCGATCGACGTAATTAATTTAAGCAATTCCATATATTAGTGGTCCAGACCAGACTGCAGACCTGGGCAAGAGAAAAAAAAGTCTTGCATGTATCAAAAATTACAGTCCACACTTTAGTACTGAATGGATCGTAAGGATTGTAAGACACCATATTTTCATCATTGATACTCTGTAAACTTTATTACATTTATATTACGAAGTTGGAAGGGTATCATTTTATGTTCATCCATTCATCTCCGAAGATGGGATTTTGATGATCACTTGAACCTGTTTCCAGGTAAAGATATACATGTTGTCGGACATTAAAAACCTGGATATATTATTAAAAAACTTTCTTATTAGTAACACCGCCCCATTCTATTACACAGAGAAGCAAACAAGAAAAGTGCAATTATAAACTTCGAACTGGAGTCCAGCGTAGAATCCTTAAAACACTTAATTGATCGATCGATCTGCTATTATTTAGAGTACTTAGCCATGAGGCGGAGAGCATTTTTCTTGTGCATGGCTAGACCTGGTAGAACATCAAAATCTAAGTCTTCCTTCTTCATCCCAGCCACCATTTCCCAATCAAATTTGTATAGAAGATTCACAAGTGCAAGGTCCACAGTCGCAATTCCCATGTATAAACCTGGACAAATTCTTCGACCAGCACCAAATGGTATTAGCCCAAAGTGTTGCCCTTTAAAGTCAATAGAACTCCGTATGAACCTCTCAGGATAAAATTCTTCTGGGTTCTCCCAAGCTTCAGGGTCCCTTCCTATAGCCCATGTATTCACAAGAACGAATGTTTTAGCCGGTATTTCATACCCCTCTATGATGCACTTTTCAATTGTTTCTCTTGGGACCAAAAAAGGAACTGTTGGTTGCAGTCTCATTGTCTCTTTCACTACAGCCTTAAGATAAGGCAGATCCTGGACATCATCTTCATCGACAAAACCTTTGTTTCCAACTACAGACCTAATTTCTTCTTGAACTTTCTTCATTATTCTAGGATTTTTCATCAGGTAGGTCATTGCCCAAACCACGGTAGCTGCACTGGTGTCTGTGCCAGCAACAAATACATTCTGCAACGAAGAAAAATTAATAAATCAGAAGAATAATAATAATTGCAGTTTGAAGCTAATTAAAAGATATATATAGTATATGAAAACTAAATAAAGTTGAGAAATTTTGCTTTATGAACGAGTAATATAATACCATGAGCACTGCTTTGATGTGATCGGAAGTGAGGTCAATTTTAAATCCACGCTCTTTTCGTACTTGCAGTAGAACATCAATTATATCCTCTTGATCATTCTTTGGTTTCTTGGGATCTAAGTGCTCCTCGATGAGTTCCTGGTAGAACTTATCAAATTCCTTGAAATTGTTTTGGAGACGACTTACCATTCCTGTGAGTTTGTCAACCCAGCCCATGAATGGAAAATAATCTGAATAAAAGAAACTTACGAACAAGGCCTGAGTTTCATTAAGTAGAGCATGAAATCTACTTCTTTCAGTTCCTTCGTCTTCATACCTCTTGCCAAAACCAATTCTGCAAATAATGGTGCTAGTAAGAAACATCATTTGCTCACTTAAGTTGACAGGTTTTGAGGCAGCAACTGATTTTGAGATCTTTTCAATCATACGGGAAACTTCATCTTCCCTAATTGGACGAAAATCAGCCACTCGGTTAGAATTGAAGAGATGAACCACGCATATTTTTCTTATCTCTCTCCAATAATCATCATATGGTGAAAAAACCAAATCTAACCCATTGTAAGATAACTTTTGCTGACCAATTAAGGCAGGCCTACTGCAAAATACAAGGTCATGGGTCTTCATAACTTCTTTAGCCATTTTTGCCGATGAAACTATTAGGGTTGGCACGTAACCAAGCCGCAAGGACATGAGGGGTCCATACTTTTGAGAGAGTTTCCACACATTTTTAGGTTTTGAACCATCAAACTGGTGCAAATTTCCGATTAAGGGAAGACCTCGGGGGCCAGGTGGCAAACGAATTGTTTTGGGTGTTTTTTGTTTTTGGAGAAGAAACAAGAGGAAGATAGGAAGAAGCAGAAGGATGATTAGCAGTGCCATTTTGTTATGTGTTTCTGCAATAAAACAAGTGCAAAACCAGAACCTCAATATATAGACTTCAGGCCTTCTCAGACAAAGGTAAATTAAAGAATTATGCCATTCAACATATTGTGGTTATTGGAGCAGTTTCAAATTTTAACTCTCTTTACATAATATATTTCTATTTGGAGCATTGAAATTGTCTTTAATTACTAGAAATCCTATAGGCTATAAGTTTTCTATTGGAAAATGGCTTGTGCCGATGGTGAGTTTTCGTTTGGTTGGGAAAGCACGTACGCATTGGAGAGGGATGGTGATGGTAAAACTGAGAAAGTCTACTTCGAGCCACGTGTTTTCATTTGATGATAGCCAACACATATTGGCTTTGAATGACTGTTCAACACGTAGCAATTGGAGAGGCCACGATGCACATTGAAACAAAAGAGAAAATACATGAAGATAAAACGAAAAGACAGAAGAAGGAAATCAAAGACAAAACAGAAGAAAAGCGACATGCTATAATTAGCTTGTTTGTATACTAGTGAATATTTATATTTATATGTTTTATGATTATTAACAATGAAAATATCTTTTTCAAGCAAGAACTCTCCTATTATTTATTTATTTAATATAGCTAAATGTTTTAGAGATATATAAGGGGCCCATTTGATAGGTTCCATACATATACTGGTTGGGATACGTGTATCATCCTACCGTCCCGAAATGGAATCTTCTCATCTCATACGGACTGTCTTTTGTCTTTACTCATTATCCTCGTCTCTGTCGATCATTTTACTCATCTATCTATACCGATTACAAATAAATCTTATAAAAAATAAAATGATAAAAGAATAAATAAAAGAATAAATTTTTGCTTCACTTTTTTTTTTATTTTTTAACACGTTACTTTGTGCTAAAATCTTTATAAGATTTTTTTGTAATTGTAAGTATTACTCATTTGTTTAACCTTTATTTATGCATTTATATTAAGTAAGTTGTTGATACAAATTAATCTTTACAAACTATCAAGTTCAATTTATTTAATTTAAAACTATTTTTATTTTAAATACATCAATTTATATGAGAAAAATTATATATAATGTATTATTCATTTATATTTGACTTTTAAAATGTTAGTTTCTTTTTCTTTTTTCTTTTTTCTTTCTTTTTTTAATTTCTGGTTGAAGTTCTTAATTGTTTTTTGTTACAAGTTTTAATTACCATTCAATGTTCTAAACATATTCAATATAAAACAATATGATTTTATATACTAAGCAAAAGACAATATTAGTTTATATAGAGTGCAGCATTCTCTCATTAAATGCACTAAATCCGAGTTAAATTGTGAATTTATATTAAAGTGTGATAAAATCTTTTAAATGATGTGAGTTTATTTTAAAGTGTGTAGCGAATTCTCTTATATATATATATATATATACACCGACGACTCGCACTTGTAAAATACTAAGTTGTTCTTAGAAATTATACGAATGATTAGGATAATCAAATGTAAAGATTAAATAATAAATGAAAGATAGTTTATTATTTTGACATATAAATATGTTTAATCAAGTAATTGAAAATTTCGGGAGAAGTGTCCTCTTGTACCTGGGGATTTCTTCATTGCCATAATTGGTTCGCTCAAATTCGAAACCGCGAGCCATTTGCTATTGCGGGACCGATTAGTCAGAGATTTTCTGATGAAGAGCAGACACTAAATCAGACCCTCCTTTTAGCGTCATACTGTTGATGCTTGATTTTAAACACAAACTACTCGCACATGTGAAATACTAAGTGGACTAAGAAGACACACATAATATGAGAATATTAAATTAAGGGGTGAGAGGCAATGTTTAAAGTGGTTCGGATGCTCAAAAGTGAATCTTATTGCTATTGTATTAACAAGAGGATAAAGGTCAGGTCGCGTTCAGTGAGCTGTGCTACCGTTTAGAAAGAATACAAGAGAGAGAGAGAGAGAGAGAGAGAGAGAGAGAGAGCTATTTTAGAGTAAAATTAGTCAATCCCGCAAATGAGAGGGAATGCCTCTATTTATAATGGGAGAAACCAAGGTAATGATTACTAAATCTGCAGATGGCTGGGTACCGTGCAGATCCTTCTCTGCGTCCTATTGTTCACCTGCCCAAGGGATTTCCTTGACTTATGCAGGGCTTGGACACGTGGACGATTTCCAACCACCTGCTAGCTTGGCACTCACCTACTGTACTGACAGGGGCATGCCACTTGCGCCATTACGTGACGTGATTGCTTTTGGATGGTCACATATCCTTATCAAGTTCTGACTATCCCATGCTGACAAGACTCCACATCAGCCCTTCTTTTTCAAGCATAACATATTTATATAACAAAGTAAAGAAAAAATACACCAACTTTAAACATATTCATTTATCTACCTTTTAATTGAATGCTTTACATATAATTACCATAGACATTATGTTAATCTTCATTAATGTCAGTATCTATCTAGGGACGTTAAATATATATAAATTTTTTTTTTACTTCTCAACAGCCTAACAGAAAGAAAAAAGAAAGTTATTAGGAGTGAATATTAATTAAAAATATTTTTAAAATGTTAATATAAATCATAATGTTTTTAACATGCACCAAATTAGGTTTTCATGGGGATCCCCATCCCCATTTGAGACTGAATTGGGCAATTCAATGATGGGGTTGTGGATAGAAATCCCATACTTATTTGGTGATAGAGATGGAGATAGTAATTCCGCCCCAATCGTCATCCCTAATTTTCACCCTATCATTTTTTTAATATGATCCCATTAATAATAAATACTTCGTTAAAAAGTGTTAATATGTGTGTTGGGATTTGAGTTGTGAGGGACATGTTTAATTAAAGCGTAATACTACACTGATAAGCCATTCTTCCTAACTTTTTCTTATAAATCTGACGTGTTAGCTTATAATGGGTCTCGTTTATCCAACAATGAGTCTCGTCTGATCAAATACGAGCTGATCAATTGCGAGATGTTACATTTCATTTGTGAGAGAAAATTATGAGAATTGTTTATCAACCTATCTTTATTTTTAACTAAACAAATTCTGAATATGGGTGGTCCAAACCTTGGCAAGAATATAGGATATGTATTAAAAAAAAATCTTGTATTTGAAGAATTGTGAAAAAAAAATTACGAGAATTAAGATAATTTTGAGAGAAAAATCTAGAACCACTATCAACTGAATTACCAGAACTGTTGAATACAGATCTGAGCGGGATTACAAATGACTGTTTTTTACACAATTACAATAAAGTCCAACTACTTCTGAAACTTAACACATTGGTCCTTCGCAAATGTGCATTGATTTTCCAGAAGACAAAATAGGCACAAGAATGAGGTCATCCTCATTGGGACGGCTTGTTTTGGAGTTGAGAATACAGGGACAGTTGTCCTTCCTTTAGGAATGAGCGTCCCTGATTTTCTAGAAGTCATCCTCCTTGGAACAACTTGTTCTGGAGTTGGGACGGGCGTCCCTCTTCATAGGGACGGGCGTCCCTTGCTTCTGCTACATGTTGCTCAATAGCATTGAATAGATCTTTAGCATTGTAAGACAATATTATCACTATTACTGTTAATATATCAACTCTTCATTAACAAACTCTATCATAATAGGGTCAGTAATGCTAAACATACAAAATTAGAATCCCAACTTTGTATCCTCAATGATATGACAAGTTATCTGTCAACACCACCTTGATTTTAGCATAATGAGATAAATAAATAATTTCTATATAATTAATCTGGTGTTGACACATAAATTATCACGTCATTTGGGATACAAAATTAAGATTTCAACTTTGTATATATAACATTACTATAATTTTATATAGTTGATGGGTGTTCAATTAATGTTCATCAATTTTATCACTGTAGATGGAATTTTAACTGTCCCTTTGAACTTATTATTGTTATTGGTAAAAGATATATTTTTGAACTTGTTATTACTATTGGTAAAAGATATATTTTTGAACCTGTGTTATTATTACTGGTAAAAGATATAGAGTAATGTTATACTTACAATGAAATCTTACAAAGATCTTTATAGAAAGTGATGTGGCAAAAAATGAATGAAAGAGTGAATATAATGAGTTTGACTTTTTGTTTCACTCTTTCATTCATTTTATACCACTTCATTTTGTATAAAAATCTTTGTAAGATTTCTTTGTAAATATAGTATTATTAAAAGATATATACATGTTGCCAGACATCGTCACATAAACTTGGATAAATTATTAAAAACTTATTTATTAGTAACACCACCCCACTAAAAAAAAAAAAAAATAGTGCTATTATAACCTTCGAACTGGAGTCAAGAGTAGAATCGTTCAGATTCGCCAACATTAAACGCTTAATTGATATTTTTGCTATTAAAGCCATGAGACGGAGAGCATTTTTCTTGTGCATGGTAATACCTGGTAGAACATCGAAATCTAAGCCTTCCTTCTTCATCCCAGGCACAGTTTCCCGATCAAACTTGTAAAGAAGATTAGCAAGTGCAAGGTCCACAATCGCAATTCCCATAGATAAACCTGGACAAATTCTTCGACCAGCTCCGAATGGTATTAGCTCAAAGTGTTGCCCTTTAAAGTCAATCGAACTCCCTATGAATCTCTCAGGACAAATTTCATCTGGATTCTCCCAAGCTTCAGGGTCCCTTCCTATGGCCCATGTATTCACAAGAACGAGTGTTTTAGCCGGTATTTCATACCCCTCTATGATGCACTTTTCAATTGTTTCCCTTGGGAAAAAAAAAGGAACTGTTGGTTGCAGTCTCGTTGTCTCTTTCACCACGGATTTAAGATAAGGAAGATTCTAGACATCATCTTCATCTACAAAACCTTTGTTTCCAATTGCAGACCTAATTTCTTCTTGAACTTTCTTCATTATTCTAGGATTTTTCATCAGGTAGGTCATAGCCCAAACCACGGTAGCTGCACTGGTGTCTGTGCCAGCAACAAATTCATTCTGCAACAAAGAAAAAGAAAATAACTAAATGAATGAAAAATATAATTTGTATTTTGAAGCTAATTAAAAATCAACTCGTTG